TATTTATATCACCTACTGTCTATCTTCTCTCATCCAAGTCAGATCCATGATACAGGATTTTTATCTGTTTGGTTCAGTGACCGGAGATTCCCTGGAGGTGCTCATTACATACATAATACAATATTTAAAATTACTTTAAATAAATGAAAGGCAAGATTATTTTCAAGATGACTGGTTTTATATCTTGGTTATGCTTCAAGCAAAGTTTGTGTTTCACTAATGTGAGAATTTTAAAAACTCTTCTATTACACGTTGGAATATAAAATGTTTCTCTCTGAATTTCATGTAACAAGCAAACTGAAACACAAAATATTTTAACAATAAATGCCTCAGTGTTGCTACTTTGCCTCAAAAGAATTTATTGTTACAATGATTAGATTATGTCAGTTCTTTATCCTGTACAAACACATGGAGGCTGTCAGCAACTAATGAATATTCATATAATTCAAGTGTACCTTTAAATATCATTTTCAAAGTTAGGAGAAAAGTAACTTCACATAAAGTTTATTTTTCTATCAAATGTTAATGTGTTGATAGAAGATTGTGAAATCTTTTAAGTGTGTATATTCTATTAAAAGCACGTTCTCATGAGAAGTGAAACACATTTCTGTAACATCAGCTTTTCATCAAATGCGTGAAAAGTTTACAGAGGCTGCAACAGAAAAATCATATGAAAGCATTTTAAGGTTTACTTGTCTGAAACCACACACTTTTTTTCTGTTTTCATTATAAAAACATTGTCACAATATTAAAGATAACTTAGGACAAAATTTCTGTCATTCCACCAATCCTAACAGGAAAAATAAAAACCTTAATTTTTCTTAGGACATGTGTTTGTGCAGATGTAGTCATGTTCCCTAGTTGATGTCATCATGACTGTAACATTTGGTATTATGCATTTTCCTTAAAATCATCCTCCTCCCCTTTTTTTTTCTGAGTTGAGGTCTCACTCTCTCACCTAGGTTAGAGAGCAGTGGCAGGATCACAGCTCACTATGACCTCGATTCTTCCACCTCAGTCTTCTGAGTTATTGGGACTACAGGTACATGCCTCCACACCTAGCTAATTTTTTAAATTTTTGTAGAGATGAGGTCTTAAACTCCTGGACTCAAGCAATCCCTCAGCCTCCCAAAGTAGTGAGATTACAAGCATAAGCCAGAAAACCTGGCCCATCTTTGTATTTTTATACTTCAAATGATTTTTTTGTCATGTAAAATGATGAGCTACATAGTAATTCATTAATTAAATGTATCTTATTTTTATAACAATTTTTCTATAATAGAATTTTTTATGTTTAACTTTTCTTTTTTTAGAAGTCGATGTTTCACTACACAAGAAAAAGTGCTCAGCTTCACTAATCATCAGAGAAATCATTTTAAAAAATTAATTAATTTATTTATTTTTGAGTCGGAGTCTCACTCTATCGTCCAGTCTGGAGTGCAGTGGCACGCTCCCGGTCACTGCAGCATCGACCTACTGGGCTCCGGCGATCCCTCCGCCTCAGCCTTCCAAGTAGCTGGAACTACAGGCACGCATTACCACACCTGGCTAATTTTTGGTTTATTGTAGAGAGAAGGTCTCACCAAGTGACCTGGATGGGTCTTGAACCCACGAACTCTGGCAATCCACTCACCTTGGCCTCCCAAAGTGCTGGGATTACAGGCTGAGCCACTGAGTCCACCCTGAATGGCCATCATTAATAAAACAAACAACCACAGATGCTGGCGAGGATGTGGAGAGAAAGGAATGCTTCTACACTGCTGGTGGGAATGCAAACTAGTGCAGCCTCTTTGGAAGACAGTGTGGTGATTTCTGAAAGAACTAGAAATTGATCTTCCAGATGGCCCAGCCATCCCCCTACTGAGAATACACCTGGAAGAACTCAAATCATTCTACCAAAGAGATACCTGCACACTCATGTTTGTTGCAGCTCTATTCATAGTAGCAAAAACATGGAAATTACCATGCTGCCCATTGAAGTTGGACTGGATTAAAAAAATGTGGTACATATACACAATGGAATATTATGCAGCCATAAAGAAGGACAAACAAATGAACTTTGCAGCAACTTCGATGAATTTAGAGTCTTTCATACTCAGTGATCTATCACAGAAACAAAGAACAGAGTACCATATGTTCTCACTTATGAGGGGAACTTGAACTGGGGAGGGGGAGTAGGGGATGGGGTGGGAGTGATTGGTAGTTGAGGGAAACTGTCAAGGGAGGGAGAGGCACATTTTATCAACAAAGGTTCCTGCATAATCAACATTTGTATACCTAACTGAATTGTACCCCATATCTTTAAACTAAAAAACTTTTAAAAAGAATTTTATGTTTCACTAATATAAATATCATCATAATTTAGCTTTATTCTTTCGATATGTTTCTTGAGGATAATTCATCATATTTTGACCTACCAGGCAAAAAGAAAACTAGTTTGAAATTCTTGGTATCATCTGCCTTAGTACTCTTTCAAAAATCAGTAAATTTATAAATTTTCCAATTATATATGAGTATGTCAGTTTTAAACCTAGCTCACCACTATTGGTGAATAAAGTTTATTTTAAAGCCACTTAGATTTTGATAAGAACTAAATGATACTTAAATGTAGCTTCCACTTTCATTTTTTATTAGTGTAGAAGAGCTATTTCTATGTAATTGTTTGTCATTTATTTTTCTCTTGAGTTATTATCTATTTTAATTCACAATTCATTGCTTGTGCATCCCCAGGGGAGCTTTCTTTTAGGGGTGTGTGTGTGTGTGTGTGTGTGTGTGTGTGTGTGTGTGTGTGTGTGAATAAGCTCTTAATATGTTATACATTTTCCATTTTCCTTTGTATATATGAGAGCAGGACCACATAAAAACAAGAATTATATTTTAGAGGGTGGGCCCCATGTAGTACACTTGGAACTTGTTCCTCTATATCAAATGGTCAACCAAAGATTTTATCTGGAAGTTTTGAGAAGGTTGTGTCATAATTTGCAGAAGAAACATCCCAAGTGTGGCAAACGTGACTGGTTCTTCCACTATGACAATGCACCTGCCCACAGTGCACTGAGTATTTAGCAGTTTTCGACCAAAAAAATTGGCATGACCCCAATGCCCCACCCTCCCTATCACCTGATCTCAACCCAGGTGACTTTTTATTTCATTGTTTTTCTGGATGAAAAAGTCCTCAAAGGCAAACGTTTTACCAACGTGGAAGAGGTGAAAAAACAAAACAAAAGAAAAAACAGAAAAAAAACACTAAAAGCCATCAAAATTGATGAGTTCAAAAACTGTTTTGAGCAGTAGAAAAAGCATCTTGCATATTACATCAACCAGAAAGTACTTTGAAGGTAGCTGAAGTTTAAACATGTAAGAATAAATACACAATTTTTTATAAATAAAAATTTTTTTTTCTGGGTCCACCCTCATATGTCGTGTATTTTTTCTTCTAAGATTTTTCCCTATTTAGATTTGTCATCATATTCTGAAGGTCAATTTCATCTTTAACATTTGGAATAAACAGCAACCCTGTAAACTTCTTTATTATTGAAAAATAAAAACATTGAGTTGTTTTTGTAAGAACAGTTGAAACATATATAAAATGAAAGTTGGGTTAATATTATTTGTGAAAACAAAAGCTTTACACTTATGACATCTGACTATAAGAAGAATCCTTATAAGAAATGAAACATCCTTATGGTGCCTGATGCCACTAATACTCATCCTTGGTAGCAAAGAAAACAGAACACCAATTTTTAAATCTGAAATCTAGATTGGATTACTGGCTGGGCGATTATCCAGCTGTGAGACCTGAGGCAAATATTTTAATTTCTTTGAATTGCTGTTTCTTTATATATATATATAAAATATTATTATAATATAAATTTAAAGAATTATTTTAGGACCAAAAATGTTTTTTGTAAATTGCCTAGTACACAGAAAACCATCAATATAGGAAAGACAAGTATTTCAAAATACATTTTAAAATTTAAAATACATTTAAATTTAAAAACATTTTTTTAAAAAATTAACTTTTTAGAATTTTATCTTAATAGTAGCTTCATGAGGTACACGGTAGCGTGTTCTCTACTTGAAATGTTAGAAAACCAAGACCTAAGATGTTTAAATAACTAGTCAATGTTACACAGGTAAAGAGTGGTAGAACTGTGATATGAGCATAGGCAGGCAGTGTACTCCTAGAATATCAACTCCTCTCCATGGCATAAATCTCCTAATCACTGCATACAACATGCTTAAACTCAGCTCAATGACTTTCCTATCACAATTTCTACATCGTCAATGAGATTTATGCTGTGTAAATCTTACCCATTCCTCAAGATTAACCTAACTTCTAGCACCTCCATGAAGATTTATTTAATACTCCTTTCTTCCTTCTAAGTAGTTTTGGCTTCTCCCATATTTCTAAAGTAGTTATCTATAGCAAATTACATTATGCCTTTTGGGTATACACTTTAGACCATGCACTTCCTGAAGCTAGAAAGTGTATTTTATTCTTTTTATTTTTTTCCCTACATCTAGTTCCATGAAGTACATATAGTAGATACCCAGCCAATATTTGCTATATGAGCAAATAAAATAATAAAAGGTATTAAGTTAAAACCAAAAATACTCCATGAAAAGTTAGGAAAGAGAAATAACCAAAATTTGTTAAATCATACTTTCAATAAAGTCAATATTTTCAAAAAGATATACATAATTATATAACAAAAGCTTTTTGTTAGTTCAAACTACTAAGTCTTTAGTGTATTTCATGTTTGTGAACACACATACATTTTTCACTCATGAAAAATTTGCAGAAATCTCTATTTTCTAATCACTGAAAACAACCAAACCAACTTATTGATGATAGACAAAAATAGAATGTATCACTACTAGAATTATTGAAAATATATACAAGAATATCACCTGTCTCATACAAACACACAGAGTAGACACACTCAATAAATAGAAGCAATTTTGGAAAAAGAGAACATTAAAATAAACCTTTTTACCGTTTATCCTAAAGAAGGCAGCACTGATTTATCCACTTCTGTCTCTTTACAATTGAAATCTAAAATCTTTATCTCATAGTATTTCAGCATCTAATACACAAAGAAAGGAAATGACACATTTGTGTGTTGAAAATCCTTCTTGGCAATGTGTTTCAATAGCACTTTCATCAATGCACAGGTTTGCAAAATCTAAATTTGTCAGAAAACTCATTCCTCTTCCCATCTAGACCACTACAAAAGGAAAAGAGAAGTGAAAAGAAAAGAAACAAAGGTTGTTGAAGCAAGGCACAGGATTCATGGCAGATTGAATCTTTCCTTTTTTATGTTATGTATAACTGATATAGCATTAATTAATTTTCATGATCTCTGCTTTCCTGTTATAAGGGAAAGCTCTATGTTTAAGTGATTTGTATTTTCTTTTTCCCCTTTCCTATCTTTTTATCCAAGGCCTCAAATGCAAAACACATGAAGATGATGCCTGCTAAGTAAGTGTAATGTTCCCTTCAGGTGTTTTGCTGTTAACATTATTTATTTTCTGAGTACCTAACTAGTTGTTCATTTTCCCAGGAGTAAAGTGGAGGGAAAGGATCTCAGGCATGGGGTCACAGAAAGGAAATGCCTTATACCTTCTGCCATCCATCAGAGTGCTGTACATTTTATCTCATTTAATTTACTCACATTCAACAAGTTCAAGTATAAAAAGCATTCCATGTTAAATAAACGAGCTAACTTTGACAACTGATACTTCTTGGAGAAAGTGTTCAGTTTATGTTCCATAGGCACGTCTTGGTGCTCTAAACAGGAGGGATAATGCTTCCTAGCAGAAGATGGCCAGAATTGCCACACCCAGAGACAATATCTCTCAGAAGATAATATGCCTGAAAGAAAGAAAGCGCAAACTGTGTAAGGCATTTGAGAGACTCAATTACCCAGTCATCCTTAAGGGAATCTCTAAAACTGATAGTAATACAGGCATTGAAGAAAGCCACACAAGTCCTGACCAGGCAGCTTTAAGACGAGGTAGAATCACAAGTTGATCTAGGCAGGACCGACATGAATTGGCTATTAGCCACAGTGTTTTAAGTTAATCATCCAATTCTTAGTAAAAAGGCACTGGAGACTAACCACAGAACTCGCTCTATTTCCTTTCTAATTAGTTGCATATACATCTCATTTTTAATATGGTGCTTTGGGGGTTTTTACAAAATCTGAAGTTTCAGAACCCCTTTGTATATTGAGCTAAATTTGAACATCCCTGTCAACCCTGTCAATACTATATGATTAGGAAAGTCAGACTCTGGGAATAACAAGCTAAGACACTGGCTTTCCAAAATTCTGTTCTAATGAGGTTTCTTTCTGTCAGGTTGAGCTCCATTTCTAGTATGTCTCTGTAATATTGCTCTGTATATATCTGTACTTCTAGATGCAGAGCTTTTTGTTTGATTATCATAAGTAGAAAAACCTGATATTATCAGTAATATTTTATATCACCTTATATAAACAGAAGTTTCCTATACAAGTATTGTAAAAGTCAAAATATGAAAACAGACAAAAGATAGTGTCAGAACTAGATGGTATCTTCCTTTTATTAAACCTATAAGAATATTCTGTTCACCCACACAATCTTAAATTGATATTGTTACATAAAATTTTACTATTTTTGTAAAATTTTAAAAACAAATGCATTACATATCAAAAATTAGTTAAGAACTATAGACTTATGTAATTTGACCCTAAATTCATGTTTGTGTGTGTGTGTGTGTGTATATATATATATTGCTGTTGTTGTTGTTTGTTTGTTTGTTTGTTTGGAGTCTCACTCTATCTCCCAGCCTGGAGTGCGGTGGCACACTCATGGCCACTGCAGCCTCAACCTGCTGGTCTCAGGCGATCCTCCCACCTCAGCCTTCCAAGTAGCTGGAACTACAGGTGTGTATATTTTAACATATAATAAAATAATATTTTAGCACTTAGTGGTGTGGAGAAATCAATATATTTATTTTCTTTTGAGATATACCGCACTATATCATGCTGTCAGTTTTTAAAAGAAAGTGCATGGAAGATTTCCATTTCCTGCTTTGATGTCTAAAGAGCTTGGGAGTCACCACTCATGCCCCAGCAAAAAACACTAGACAAACTAAAAACAATGACTTGCCTTGTACTCATCAGAGAATTGAGATCTCAGTACAATAACTGAAATCTAGAGAGACAGGAGAACACAGAGAGCAGAGATCAGCTTACCTAGAGCAGAAGCCACTGAAGCCTCAAACTGGTAGGAATACGGGCTGAATGTGGACCAGTGTGAGCAAGAAAGCCTTCTGAAGCCTGCAGTCTTAGAGGGACCCCCAAATATTTATAGGTTTTACCTCCAGGAGTCCCACCAGGTTCTCACAGTATAGAAGCAAGAAAAAAATCACCTACTGTCTCTGGCAAAAGGAGGTGAAAAGTAACCATTTTTACATAGATCCAAATCACTTTCTATACCAAAGTAATACTCTCTAGTGAAGAGGCCTCACCAGACCCTTATCTCACCTAGGCAGTTGGAGGGCAAACTCTGACTCTCTAGCCTTCCTGTCCAAATTAATAGAGAAAAAGAAAAGAAAAAAAAAAAAAGCAAGCAACAAAAGCTCAGAAACTCTCCTGAAGGTCACAGTCCAGGGTCTTGGGAATGAGATTGAATCATAAGAGTATAGAATGCCTCCCCTTGCCCACTCTCACCCCTCTATCAGCAGAGCTCCAGTGAGAATCTAGTGTATTACAGCTGAAAGAGCTGCAAAATTCTTTTTTAATGAGAAGTTTGTAGGGAAAACCCAAAGACAATAGAAAAAATAAAAACAAAGACAGTAGAGGAAATTTTAGCTTCTGACAGCTATATCTACAGCAAACACAACCAAACTCCTAGCCAGATTAGTATACGACCACACACTAAAAGGCAACTAAGTACATCCTAGACCCTAAAAGTCACATTGTCCTTGGACAGTTAGGGAAGTAGAATCGGTTACATATAGAGGCAAAAAGACTAATGACTAATTTCCTTGCAAGCACAGCTGTCTCCTGCAAGCACCATTAACAATTCACCCTTTCCTCGTGATCATGTCTTACTAAAAAGACACAGAAATAAAAGGAAAAAAAGTGAATGTGAGATCATTTGCGCTATTTTTAAAACCCTAATGCATACTGCATTGAGTTTAGGGAAGTGTGGCTTCAGATTATAGTGAAAGACTCTTGCAGTTTAAATATGTTCAAACTTTGTAAAAGTGTCAATTACTTTAAGCCTGAGCAAACTGCATTAAGAAAATTCTTACCCAGAAGTCACTGAAATCATTATGGCATGTTAGCCCACAGGCTTAAAAGAGATTACAAGTTATACTATAACTATGTGCATTGTAATAGGGTGGATACTATTTACTTTAGAGCAATCTCACATGCTTCTTAGTCTTTTATTCTCACAGCAAAATCTCTTTATTTTGAAATGAGAGAACGTAAAGGATTTTCAATAAACTATCTAGGGTCACCTGTCCAGTGACAGAGCGTGACCCATAACATATGTTCTATTATGGTCTTTTCCTTGCCACATGGGTCACTTAGGCTTTATTCTCTCCCAAATATCTCTAGAAGCTACTGCTGACAATCTCTGTGAGTGCCTCCAAAACTCAAATCTGTCATTAGCTCTTTGATCTGCCTGCAATCAGAGAATACATGTCTTTTTTTTTTTGGCCTCCCATATCTCTTGAAAGCTTTACTCTCTGGCAAATTCTAACCAAGAATCATGTAGGGAAGGTGATAAAAGCTGTAAAAATTATTGACAAGAACATTTCATTCAAACCCCTCCACTGAGAAGCTTCACCAAACTTTTGTTTTTCATTATCTATTCATCAAGAGGTAATCACCGAACTTTAACCTATCCCTCTTTTGAGTTCCTGTCTTGGGAAGCTTGGGAACACCCCAGAATTTACTGTTTGTTCTAGTCATCACATACAGTAAGCCCCGACCTCTTTTACTTACAACTTTTACTTAAAAGAACTTACAATTTTGAAGCTTTTCTCTATCCCTTTGAGATGTACATACATTTTGGATAATATTAGTGTCTTTCTGAAGGAACTAAAGTTATTGCTTTAAAATGTAGTCATTGGGAAGGATAAGGTCTCTGTTTCTGGCACTCTGTGGAGTGATAGAATTTTCTTCATTTATCACTCCAGATCCATGTCCACCTTTCTCCATCTTTCTATTTTCTCCAGGAAGCTGACCTTATTGGACAGAATAAAATGGTTCCCTTGACCTCTAGCATCTGAGTCGGTTTGACAGATGGGCAGCCTAGCGGGAGATCTGTGAAAGGAAGGAGAGTTAATCCTCTATATTAATTGTTTAAAAACAAAGTAAATATTTATGGTCTAGGAATGTTTCATGGCCTCTTAAGGAGCTACTTGATCTATATAAGCAGAAAATGTTGAGACCTGGTGATTAGAAATTTAACCATCATGACTATGGGGATTCATAACATCTTAGTTGCAAGTGGAATTATGGTGACATTGGACTCACTCAGGAAACATTAAACAAGGGAGATTATTATGAATTATCCAAGTGAGTCCAATACAGTCTCAAGGATTTTTAAAGGTAGAAGAGAGAGGCAGAAGGTGAGAGTAAAAGGAAAGGATGTGATGAGGGAAGAATGCCCAGAGATGCAAGGTTGTTGGCACTGATGACGAAGAAAGACGATCTCAAAAACCAAAGAATGCAGGTGACCTTTAGATGCAGGAAACAACAAAGATATAGATTTTCTCCTAGAGCATTAAGAAAGTAATGCAGTTATGTCAACAACTTGAGTGTATCTCAGTGAGATATATTTTCACATCTAGTAAATTTGTGTTCTTTTAAGCCACTAAGTGTGTGCTAATTCGTTAAAATAGCAGTACAAATCTGAACAGAATTGTAGTAGTTCATTTGGAAGTTACAACAAAATACCACAGACTGCCTAAAAAACCAGAAATTTATTTTTCTTAGTTCTGGAGGCTGGAAGACCAAGAACAAGTGTCAGTAGGTTGGTTTCTCCTGAGGTCTCTCTTCTTGGCTTAGAGATGACTGCACTCTGTTTCAAATGTCCCATTCTTAAAAGAACACTAGTTAGATTGGATTAAGGCCCATCCTACAGGCCTCGTTATAGCTTAATCAGGTCTTTAAAGGTCCTATTTCCAAATACAGTCATATATGAGGTGGTGGAGGCTAGGATTCCAAC